CAACCTCAGAAGATCAATATTGTGAAGACTTCCACAAAGCCACAACTACTCGGTCAAATAATGGCCGGTACGTCATACGACTACCCCTAAAGCCACAACTTTCCTATACTCCACAAATTGTTTTTGTGCCAATTGTGCCAAGCCAACGCCAGTGTTAAAAACACATATATTATATAATATATGTATATAATTCAACCAAATCATCCAAATGAGAAGAAAATTTAATGTACACTAATTTCTTTAAATTCAAAAAGGGCAGTACAACATAAACACAGGGAATCCAATGGAATGCGACATCTGAGCCAATATCCGCACTATCCGCAATAACCACTTCTACCCCACAAGATGGCTTTGGCCAATTATGATACAAGCGAAAATCCTAATTCTTCTTCACTTAGAAATATGGTCACAATTCTCAAACAATCTAAACGATATAAGAATCTCCCGATTCTTGACCACAATCGCCCACTTCCACACATGATATCGTCCGCAAACTACAAGTAATTGTCCTAGAAAGTCGAAAAATCGACACCTCTCCTACTATAGTGCCTCATAAATGCCTAAATTTTCATAACTATAGCACAATTCAAAATTAAAATTAAGAGATCACCACTTCCAATGTGATACATTGTTGCACCCAGACTTTCAAAAAAGCAAAGGTCGTTCTTATTGCATCTATCTAAGCGCCCATCATATGGGTAGTTTATGGGAAACACTTGTTAAGTTGCAAATCTCACTTCAAAACAGTGGGCGAAGATCACAAATCTCTCTTTCGCAATATCCTCTTCAAAGGTTTCAAAGGAGCACCCATATCTGAGCCAGGCGTGTAGTCGCTAACTTTAATAAGCCGACGGTAATGAAATTAAATTGACTTGATTAAATTAACAAACTTATAAATATAATAAGTACCTAAAGCAACTACAACCTCATCAGAATGCATGCAAAATATGTTTTTAAAATCAAAGCCTTTTAAACACTACAGTTCAATATGGATATATCATTACTCCATCACCATTTGAACCCCCCATGCTCTCGGCTACTTCAGAAGCAGCGCGCCGAAATACAAACATATACAAATGAGTTAAGCCGCCCATACCTATAGAAATTACTCTACTCGAATAAAACTAGCGCACCCTAATGAAATACACCACACCTGAGAATACTCAAGGAATTTCACCCCACACGACGACACCACCACACTCAACCTCAGAGAGGGACATGTACGAAGACAGCTCACCAAAAGGACGGGATCATCGCTCCCACGGCATTTGCTATATACAATTCGACAGCGCAATTCTATTCGATTCTACACTGCGATACATACGATCAAACGCGCTAGACACATTTTTTAATCCATAAATCCATTGGTTTACAAACATCGATCGACATCGCTCCGGATTTTATTCGACCATCCACTTCGACACCGTTCCCCAATTCTTTTCGATAATGCGATTAATTTCACTATTTAAATATATAAATACCTTAAGTGTAACAATAATTTGTGTAAAAATAAATTTTCGCATATTTCCTATTATAAATATATTGCATTTTCACTTGTAACAACCGTGAGTGTAAGTGACTCACAAAAATTTAAATATGTGCTGTGTGCTTCCCATTAAAGTGGGCACCCAATTATTCACCAGGGAATAACCACTTGCAGGTGTTGCAAAACTTTATATTAAACTAGAAAGGAAGAGGTGAGTTCGGGTGTTGGTTCGGTAATTGGTATCTGATAAAATTTGTCTCAGACTAGCATATTTAATCTACGCGCACAAGCCGAATTTATATTTTTTTCCTTTTTTATATTCGCGTAAAGTTTGATCACCATATGTTAATTATTGTGTCTCACAAGTGTTTTAAGGAGCTGGCTTTATTACGAACACAACTATTTACGTGATACAAAGCATTAAGTGAATCATCGAAAACTTGCCGCGAGCGAATCGTCCATCCCCACGACGATAACATCGAAAAAGTTGTAGAAATAGAGCTTGAAAATCGTCTTGTTGCGATCAGAAAGATAATAAAGGACCTCAACATTTCTTATGTTTCGACTCAACACAGTTGCACCAAAAGACCTAAATCTTTTCCAAAAATTACGTCGAATTGAGATCGGAAAAGAGATGCTTTAAAACGTAGCTGAGGATACTACATTTAATAAATGCATCATTACTGGTGAGGAGGCCTAGCCCCAAAACGAGCTGAAACCTAAAAATCAAGGTAATGCTCATCGCTTTCTTTGCTTAACGTTGTGTGGTTCACCATGACTTCCTTTCACATGGTCAAACGATTAATAAGGAATATAACTTAACCGTTTTGAGGCATCTACGTGAAGCAAATCGTCGAAATGGACCGGATTGAAAGATATAAAGACTAATACAAATGTATATAATAAAGTCTAATACAAATATTTATATACAAATACGTGAAATTATTGTTTTTCATTCATTCTCTAAATTTTGCTAAGATATTTCACCAACTGAAGGTATGCTATCTGAAGTGTAAAAATTGTCAAAATCGGACCATAACTGTTCAAGCCCCAGAAACCCAATATGTGGACCCCAAATTTTTCCCGAAAATATCGGTCAATGTGTGAGATATGTTATTGATTCGGAGAGAATACTTTCCTGATAATAGTATGTCTGTATATCAAAAATGGGTTGAATCGAGTCAGTACTTCCCTTGGCCCCCATATACCTAATAGAAACAATTTCAAACTTCCGGTTAACTTTATACCGCATATACCGGCAAAGAGAGAATTTTCCTAATCACCTTGTATCTTTGTGTCTAATGGTTAAAAACGGGAGAAAACTTGCCCCTATAACTAATATTACCTTTTTCAAACATCCGGTGCTTTAATCCTAATATGTATATTGGTGATGGAATGCTACAATATGTACATAATGAGACTCAGATAACATCTTAACAGAAAAAGATGGTAATATGTGGTAATGCCAAAAATATATAAACTCGGTTAAATATTATCCCTGTCTCCCACATCCCTAATATAATAAAATTGATAAGAATTATATAAGAATTTCAAACTCCCGGTTAGCTTTGTACTTATATATTTATAAAATGTGAAATTACATCATACTAAAAATAATTATATTCGTTATTCTAACAAACTGTATGCCGAACATGGCCGGCGTGTGAGTTATTTATTTATAAAATTACTTGAATATGTTCTCGAGTATAACTGTACAATATGAAAGGTTGTCTTGAAACCGTAGGTTGGTCAAAATATGTGATATTTTAATGAAATTAAATGGACAGGCTTTCTTGAAAATTTTGTTGTTTAGAACTGAATATGAATAAAACGTTTGATCAGACGTTTGATCAAACCTTTAATAACTAATATTTATAATGAATTCCGATCCTTTAGTTGACGTTTTCTACATCAACTCAATATATAAAATTTAGCTCTTTGGTTGAGTTTATATCACATATATGTATGTATCTCATTTAAAGATTATTTTTATATAAGTTTAGCTGACAGTAAATTATATTAATAAAACTAAGTGCTTAAATGACCTTTAATATAACTTATTAAAATACCAAATTTTATTGTAATCCATTCAAGATTTTGTCGGACAATGAATGCTGAGTTCTAAGTACCATATATGTAGTTTTGCTACACCTGAAGGTATTTTCCCTGATTTGACCTTTGCAGATTGCAAGAGTATAAAATGTTCGGTTACACCCGAACTTTTCCCTTCCATACTTATACAATACATCTGTTCTTTAATAGCAATAATTTAGCAGTATATCTTCTCTTTACAATTTTACGTTGCTTCATTGATTTTAAAATTTTCATCCCCATTAAAAGTTTGATGCTCTCTGTTTTGGTTTACATTTTATTTTGCTTATATTCGCCTTTATTTGCCACTTCCGCTTATTATCTTTGTGGCCAATTGTACCGTACAATGCTACAAAAACTTATGGTGAGCATATACTTGTAATATATATAAAGAAATAAGCACGTTTTTCCTTCTAATTAATAACTCTTAGAAGCTAATGCTGATCGCTCTCTTAGCGCGCGAAATCTCTTTTATTTCTATAGCCTCCTTCCTTTTATTTACAGTTATACATATATATTGGGCGCGTAAAGTCCGGTGTTGTCATCCAGCCTCCAACCCATTTGCTTGCATATATTTGAGCGTTTGCAAATCGTTAGCCGTTCGTGGCCGTCATCGGTGGCTTCGCTCCGAAAGCGCGAAACACACAATCCAGGTCAGAATGTTGGTGCAAGCTTTTTGCACAGTTGGCTACATAGCACAGTGTTTCATTTCATTCGTCACATCACTAAACCGCTCTACTTACCATATAATTTAATAGGCGACACAAAACGAAAATTAAAAAGTTATATAAGTTGAGCCCATAACTTCTTCGATTTGTGGTGATTTCGCCATACAAAAATTACTTTATTTTACCAGTCTAATTCAAAGAAAAGTGTATGTACATATGTACGAGATCCGCTGGTTTGTGAACCCCAATTGCCGATTTCAATAGAATAAATAAATATATATAAATATGTCACACGATTATTTTAACTATCATATTTACTATTACTATATTTTTGTATCACAAGCAAATTATAAAAATTGCAAAATGAACAAAATGAAAAATCTTTTAGATTATTTAGGAGCCCTATGATACACATAGACCAGTGAATGATGACGAATGAAACGTTTATATCTGTTGGAATACTCATAAAATGCCAACCACATACAAATTCGAAAGAATTTTGATAGGTTAAAACTAAACTAACATAGCCCACAGTGCAAAACGAAAATTCGATTGAGGGTCCTTACCATTTTCGCATGGGTTTATAGGGTACATTTTATGCCTATGTATGTACATATGTATATGAATGTAGCTAAATCCTCGTCCACGCATGACGAATAGCTGACTCGTGCGCAACGGTGTGCCCGATTGGAGCTATGGTATGCACTCGATGCCTGCATTTGGGGTGCGATGTCCAATATTTGTATTTACGGTATTCTGATGGTATGGTGTACTTACAGAGAATGCGGCTGCCACCAGCAATCACTTAGCCGGGCCAACAAGCTTTGAGTCAGTCTTCGTCGCACTTTTGAAAACAACAGTCGCATTTTAGCATATGAAACGCACATATTGTTTTTTCTTTGTTTTCCTATTACATGGTAGGTCTTTGCCACAAACGGGCTAAATTCTGTGTGCGTGTATAAGTGTAGGTGATGGAAGATTCTCGGAATTTTAATGGTGCTCTGACTTTTTACGGCACCAACGAGGTGCTGTTCGAAAATTTGCTGATGGCAATAAAGGGTTGGTGATTTCGACCAGTGCGTTATGTCTGATGATTACATCTATTCATTAATTTTTTTTGTATGTGCACGTGCGCATAGATATATAAAATGTGACAATAGACCGGTTTTGCATTTGAAATTTTGGTAGCGTATTGCAATCAGTGAATTATAAAAGTTTCAAATGTTATGGAAAGTGAAAACCAGACTATGTTCCAGCATAAACAATCAGAAGATAAATCCGCCAGAGTACTGTTCAACACATAAACAGAGGTATAGAAAAATCTATTAGACCCTTTTGGTTTGACGGAAAATGTTGTTTTATCCTAAAAACCATTTTTCATACTCTGAGACTGCATACAGTGTATATGAATGAAACTTTGTAAAAGAATTAAAGGACTTACATACATGTGTACATATACAACAAACAGCTTGTAAAACCAAAGTGGACAACACCCTTTTATCGGTGGATTTAAGCGCGAAAAAAATTCTGCATTTGTATATATGTACACATGTGGATGTGTGCGCAAAGTATATAGTATTGGCAGTCTAGTATAGTAAGTCTTACACATAAGACTCCAGCGTTGTTGAAAAGGCTAATACCTTTTAATTTTTGATCAATGCCCCGTTGAATCTTGACTGAGGATTTCAACGGATAGAGTTGTTGACAAACCCAACGTTTACTTACCCAATTAAAGAAGACAGAACCCGCCATATTCTGATGGTCTAAACAGGTCAGTTAATATAGAGCCACCTTTAGCCATCGCCAGAAAACCTGACATTATACTCAATGATGCCCAGATTAATTTTTTTAGTTTGATCGGTCTTTTGTTTGATTCAGCACATTTCGCCTTGCTCGTTCCTTTTTCCCAAATGTGGTGAAAAAGTAGAACATATGGAACAACAAAAACTAATATATGCCCATCCTCGTCTGTATGTAACCCAATAAGCACAAATACACACGCTCATGAAAAAAGTGAGAATATGGAAAAGTTGTTAGCTACTTCTTTTTGTCTTCTTCTGTTGCAATTTGTGAACTTTTAATAGATATTTATACACATGTACACAATATAACGTATGTATAGTAGCATCAAACCAGTCAGGAAGAATATAGTTAGAATTTCCAAAATGAAAACGTAAAAGATGAGTTGTTTAGAAAATATAGGACAATGCATTACTTATTTTATTATATTTTTATAAATGTATTTGTGTAGTAGACTATTTCTTTTTTATTTTTAACTAAAACCATCCACTTGATCCATAAAAAGTTATAAAATATTGGAAAAGACATATGTTAGTTATTTTATAACGGAATTTTGTAGGGCTTCACCATGGAAAACGACAGTCTGAGTCAGCCTGATTTGTTTTGTGGTTATTACTTAAGGAGTAGTTCGTACAGTAGTTTATAACTAGTAGATTTTACTGCATGGTATAATTATATATTATGTACCATATGTACATATATTTCCCGATTAGTATGTTTTTAGGTTTTGTTATGATTACATACTATTTACTTGTACATCCTTGTTCACTATGTATCTACTCAAATGTGCATGCGTGCTTATTAATTTTGCTTTAGTCATGTTCCTCTATTTCGCTTGTTTGATTCTTTTTGCGTTCTTGTAAAATGTGGTGTTTATTGATTAATTTCGTCGCTGCTGTTCCGCTATTCGTTTTTTGATGCACCAACGACATTGTTCGCAACCATAGCTTGCCGACAGTACGCTAAAACGACAGCAGCTAGGAGTAGACAAATTGTTTGTCCTTCCACAAAATAGCAACAAAATATGTACATATACGTACACACATCATAAAAAGTGACGGAAATTTCGAAAGGAAACCAAATACTTATTTGCGAGATGTACAATATCAGGTTCAGGGTGCCCATTCGATTGAGGAATCAATCTTCATTATCTGACTAGTAATGTTTAGGTGTGTATCAATAGGTGTATGTATACATCCGCGTAATTCATTACAACTTGCGCAATATTTCAGCAAAACATAAAAATAACGCTGTTGTATATTTTCTTGAGAGCTTTCACAAGAAATTCTCTTCATGTTTTCTCTATTTACTCTTAAAAAGAATATTAATCAAGTTGGCACATATGAATGTACATATATACTCGTATATGAAAGAATAACTCTCTATTATTTTTCATTGACTTTTTCGGCATTCTTCATTCTTGTTGTTTACTACTGGAACTTCATGCAATCATTAAAAATTGATAGCATATTAGAAACATGCGTAAAGTAAACAAAAGATTCAGACGTCTCTATAAATGGGGTTTAACGAAAAGTCTTCTAACTATTTTCTACTGAAGGAGAGATTTATTCTCTTAAATTTGTACCATTTACACACATACATATGTAGATAATTTTAAGTCCTAAAGGCACAAACAGTAGCCGACGCAAAACCTTGTCCCGAATCAGCTGATACGACCTATCTTATGAGAGCGCAATGTAAATGATCAGTCACCACCGCTTCTGCCGTCCGCTTCAACAGACCGTAGTGAGCTGAGAGAGCAATCTCTCGCAACGCAAGGTTGCCAAACTCGATATTTTGTAGTAATAATAAAATGAGCTTGAATATATTTAAAATATTCTTAAAATAACTTAAAATCACAGTCGAATACACTTATTTATAAATAGGTAAACTATTTTTAATAGTTGGATTTTAGTTTTGAGCTTTTACATTGGGGCCGTCCATAAATTACGTCATCGATTTTTTCAGATTTTAGACCCCCCTATAATCATCCTATCGTCATTTCTTAAAGACACCGTCTTTGACTTTACCGTCATCCGCAGACCAACCCCCGCCGAAACATGATAGCTGTATTAAATTTTCCAAGCGTTACAAAGTAGCGAACCCACAAAATATACCTGCAGTTTCAATAAAATGTTGTTGCGCATCGTTTTTGTGGAAAAATATGTATATACTTTTTTCCGCGCCAAAAACCATTTTAAAAACCTCTTAGTTTTGAGGCCACGTCTTAAGTTTTCTATTTATATTGTACCATATATTCTTATTTGACAGTAATACAAGTATGTCATTACAGCCAATCGCAATTGTAAACCTAAAAATGGCGTAGAAATTACTAATCTAAAACAGCTATCAGCTACGATATTTACTTTATTCTTAAATTCTATCGCTGTTGTTCCACTGATTCCGTATTTTAAGGCCAAATAATTTTATCATTTGAATTCGAAATGGAAGTATGTGACTCAATTCACATTTTTGATTACATTTCTGCCATCCGGAAGAAATCATTTTAATATTTTATAACCTTTAATATGTGAATCGCGCATGTAATTTAAATTCTTTTCAATATTAACATATTTTGTATTTTTTTTTTCCAGAAAGAACTTTTACATTTTGAATATGCGCAAAAAAGCCATTTCTAATCAAAACTTCTCCAAAGTCAATGGATTTAAACGGGAACGTCACGGAACTGATATAATGGGAGTGAATAGAGTATAAAATAGTACAATGGTCAATTTTACTACGAAAACAACAACTTCTAGTTGGCAGAGTTTCTCTTTTGTTTACCATTGCAAGCAAACAAAAGACCATACAAGAAAATTGAAGCAAGCAAACATTGTGCGAATAGCATCAAATGGAAAGCCCAACAGACAAAACGAACAGTGATGGATCCGTGATACAAGTGAGGGGTACATAATGGCAGGTAGAGGTGCATTTTATGGTCGGAGGAAATAGGCAAGCAAAGTACTCGTATCCAACTCAAGAATGTAAACGTCATACATACACGAAGCAGCGCGAAAAGGAAGTACTTAATGCTAGGGTTAGTGCAATGACTTTCAGTTCAAAAGACAAAACTACCAAAATAAGATAATATAAACACAGGACTGATTACACTTAAATGTAAGAGAATAAACGAAAATTTCAGACAAATTTGAAAATTCGTTCAAAAACAGTGTTCAGATTAATTATCGCCTAGCTTCCACGGGGATCAGTTGAAAAATCTAATATTCAGAGTAGGAAAATATGTTTATGCTAGCACCGCAAACATTCACACCACAGGCGCTGATCAAAAAATTTAGTAGTATATGTAAGTGAGACACAGGGCCACCACTATGAACTTCCCAACTACGCTCCAAAGACAAAGTTTGAATAAGGAATACCCAGAGCCACAGGCTTCCAATATGAGGTATCCGGCCAGGGCACCGTCACCGCAGCAACAAGCATATTCCTCTGGCTATGGCAATTTTGGCGATCCGGCACGTTTCAATGTTTCACCCCAAGCAATGCACCAGCAACATTACTCAGCTGAGCAGCTACAGTATCACCAACAACAACAACATCTTCAATATAATAACATTTTTAACAGTAGGCTAATTAGTGATGGCACCAATAATAATGTGTCCAGTGGACCAGTTTCGAGTATTTACAGTAATCGAGCACGGTACTTGCCTTATGCGTATAGTTTACCGCAGCATTCAATGCGGGGCATGTATACACCAGCTGGACAGCAATTGATACCATCCAGCGTTTTGCATTACCCGCCCCGTAGTGATGCCTATCAACCAAACACAATGGCATTGCAGCAGCAGCGTTCTGTATTGACACAACAATATTCTTCGGCGCTACACACCCAACCGCAACTTCAACCACATTTACGGCAACAGCAGCAACCGTCATCGCAAGCTCAGCTGTCACATCACCAAACCTCATTTGGAGCCAATGAATCGCAAATGCCACAATATGCTGATGCCCTCAATACAACACAGCCAACTTACAAACAAGTAACAGGACCAACGCCGCATTTGTTGATGCATTTAAATGGCAGTAGGTCCCCACCTGCAACGCCAATATCTCCACCATCTCCAGCTGCCACGCAGACCGCACGAAGCGAGTCTAGGCCGCCGTCAGCTGATTGCAATACTTATTTACAGTTAAAAAACCGGTACCGGCAGTCCCTCAGTTCGCCCATCCACGCTCACACATTATCCAACGAAGAATTGCTTTCAGCAAATATGTCAAAATCTCAACAGAGCGCACCACCCTCCCAGCGATTGCCTAGTTTGAAAATTCAATCTACATCCTGCACATCTTCCGAATTGACAACAATGAGTGAAGACGCACAAGCTAGCCCACGAGATTGCCATGAGGATAAGCATCTTCAAACTAGTACGTCACATTCTGTCAGCAATAATAACGGGACAGTCACACCTCGACAAACGGCTAGTAGAGAATGTTTGACCACTTCACCGCCATTAATAAGCGCCACTGGCACGGATAGTGGTATCAGCATCAGCAGCGGCAGTACTCGCGCCCGCAGCGATAGCACACAAAGTACGCCAGTCTACAACGGTGAATATCCAATGTCGGTGGGCTCATCTTCGGGAGTGTCATACCAATGCGCGGATATAAAGGATTTCGAAGATTTTAGCAAAGAAAAGGAAGAAAATGCAGCCTATGCGCCTCCCAACGAAAATGAATTTTTAAAATGCAATCATGAAATCGTTGAAGATGACATTAATATGAGAAATTCAGTGCCCGGTGGAAAAGATGAGAAAAACTCAACCAATACGAAAGAGCAAGACATAGATCGAGAGCTTATGAATGATAGAAACGTGTTTGGGGAAACGAAACTATGTGGTGAGTAATTATATAAAACACTTTTGCACTTATTGCAGACTAATCTTGAGGAAGGAGCTATCATTTATTCGATGACGAGATTTCGATCCGTCTCGTTTGTGACGCCGCGTCGCTTACCACTTGAAGTTTTGCTGATATATCTGAATATTTATGTGATAACAGGCAGATGTCGTCAGCCTAGTCCAGATCTTCCATGCGACCATTCAAACCCCAGGAAATACTTCTGTTTACCGCGCAGGCTTGTTGCATTACAAGGTCAAGTACTAAGTTAAATAAGAGCGGTTATAAAACACAGCCTTCTCTTACACTAGCTTGAACTTCGACGCTATTACTCAAAGAATTTTCGTGCTTCACACGGCATGCAGCGTCCGAGTACAACTCTTTTATGAAAGACATTTTTTTTACTGGCTCTCCTTTGCATGCAACTGCTTGCCAAATTGCGTCATGTTTTAGAGTATCGAATGCTGTGTCAAAATCGTTGAAGAAGAGATAAAGAGGCGCGCACCACTCCACCGACTACTCGACAATTACAATAAAGGTTTATATTATCAACACATGAGCAATGAACGCGGACGAAAGCCAGCTTGTTTTCTTTGTAGCCCCTGCACAAGCGAGTTGGATAATTGGTTGTGAATTACATGCGCTATGATTTTGATTACCATGCTAAGCAGGGTGATACCTATCCAGTTTTTTTCCCTCGGATAGATTACCTTTCCTCAGGAGAAGTAATAGCTCCTTCTTAAAGCTCAGATGATATTTTCCCCGAGTTCCAAGCGTTTTTAAGTAAGGGTAGCAGAATCCGAGCACTTATCTTGGGGCCAGCTTTAAGTAGTTCCGGGTTCATGTTGTCGGATCCGGGAGCTTTATTTCATTATTAACTTTATTTTAGCGATATAGTGGAAATGTCACGTCTTGTAGTGTGTCATTGGCAGTCGCAGAATGGGCTGCGACTCTGGCGTTGGAAGGTACTTTTTGTAGTACTCCTACGAAATGTAAATTTACTTGTCCTTGTTAACTTCCCATTTTTATCTTTAAGCAGCTTAGTGGTTTGGAAGCCGGTGCTCGTTAGATGTGTTACCGAGCGATGAAAATCCAACACTTTCGTTTATTCACTATGTAGCTGACGTGCTCCTCTGCTGCATTAAGTAATACTTGTTTTATCTTATGCCATTCGTCTGCAGGTGCGTGTCCTGAAGTAAAGGCAGTGCCTAGAGAATCCGTGAATCTAGAGTAAGTTGCTACGTTCTTTAGTTTTTCATCATCGAACTACTTTTGCGCTTTTTGGTTAGATTTTTTACGACCGCATGTCCATAAGGGAGTTACGCCATTTTCGACCACCATGGTAATATGTTCGATCTGGTTTTCGGTAGCTCGATCGGGCGACGTCCACGTTGTCATGTGGATGCGCTTTTGATTAAATAATGTACCACCAATAAAAATATTATAGTTAGAACAACAATCAGTGAACATCTATCCACCCTTAGTAAGCGTTACCAAGCCATACCGACCAATCGTTCTTTCGAGACCCGAATTACATTGGACAACTTTGGCGTTCATGTCGCACATTAGGATAACTATGTCACCTCTGTTGATGTCATTTAAAATGTTCGAAAGACTGCTGAAGAATGCCCTATTGTCATCAAATCTGAGTGCGCTGGCCATTCTATAAGAGCCGCTACAGCTGACGTGGATTGGAAGAATCCTATGCCATATTCTCTTCCTTGATTGAAATGGTTACCAGAAAAAAGAAGTCTCTCGGCCAGGCCGAGAATTTGATAGCGTTGGAATTCTTTGCATAGTTCCGACAGTTTGGTTGGCTTTAGTAGTGAGTGCACATTCCATGTTCCTCTTAATATGAATTCATAATAATAAAATGCCAATAATATCAAACGTTATAACATGATGTTGACCAACTTTTTTTCCTGGAAAATGATGAAATCGACGTGCACGATCATTATTTCTAATAAGACAGTGCACCGCCTCAAGTTTCACGTCTAAACATGACACATTAAGATCGCGCGATTAACGCCTCTTAATATTATTTTCTCTGGGGGTATGTTAAATCAAAGGTTTACCCCAATCAACCAGCAACGCTTGAGGAGCTCGAAGACAATATTCAGCGCACTATAGCCGAACTTTTGCACCAGGTCATCGAAAGTTGGCGAAAACGGGTGGAGATATGCAAACGGAGCCATTGTGACTATTTGGCCGACATTTTTTTTAAATCAAAAATGGCATAAAATTATCAGCATATCAAAAAAAGGGAACCCATTTTGTCAAAATTTAAGTGCTTTATTTCATTTTAACATCACATCGTTCTTGTTGGTAGACCCTTTACCAATGAAGATATCTGAAAACTTTATACAAATATACTGATATGTGGCAGATTTGAACCACGGGCCATGGTCGACATGAACATACTTTTACAAATTAAGTGATAAAATTTCTTGAAATAATAGTTTTTTTCACCTAACGGTTGTTTGTATCACCGAAAAATAATCGAGTTGGAAACAGGGTTATATACTCTATACAAGTATGTATAAATGATCAGCATGATAAGACGAGTTGAAATCCGAGTGACTGTCTGTCTGTCCGTCCGTCCATCTGTGCAAGCGACAACTTGAGTAAAAATTATGATGTCTTAATGAAACTTGGTAAATTGCCATAACTAAGGCGCAAATTAAAATACAAAACTGTAATTCGGTACAACGAATCGCAATAACAAGGGGAGCCTGTGGTTTGAAAATTTTAAAAAGAGGTCGTGGCACCGCCCTCTAATAGGTTTAATGTGTATATCTCCCAAACTATTGAAGCTATATAACCCAAATTTTAACACCTCTTTCGTCAGCGTGAAAATACGTGAAATCCGATATATAACCACGCCCACTCTCCATAAAACGGTTCTGTTAATTACTATTAAAACTGCCATAAATCAATAACGAAAAGCGTCAGAGACATTAAATTTTAGATGCAGGATGGCACAAGAAGAGCAAGTGTCAAAATTGGACAATGGGTGTGGCACTGCATGCATTTAAGTGAAATCACATATCTCCGGACTTACTCCACCAATTTGGTATCTACGAGTATTCTGACATTCCCATGCGCGAAATCGGATTACAACCACGCCTACCCCCCATATAACACAACTTTAAATTCCAGAGATATTTTCACTTTTCAGTAGACAAATCAAGCACCAATTAATATATCGGGATAAAAACTGGCACGAATATTGCATTTATGATCATCTGAGCCATCTCAGGTCTAAAAATTGTAAAAAGCGTACGTTTTGCACATCAACTCAATATATTACATTTATTTCGGTTACGTTTATGTCAGATATACATATATCATTTGAGGAAAACTTTAATATAATTTTCGCTGACGGGAAGTAAAATATAGTTATAAAACTAACTGAGTCTATGATCTATTATATAACTTAATAAAATACCAAATTTGATCGTAATCATTCACGATTTCATCGAATAATGAATGTTGAATTCTTTCGCAACATTTTTATACTCTTGCAGCATGTTGCTACAGAGTATAATAGTTTTGTCCACCTAACGGTTGTTTGTATCACCTAGAACTAATCGAGATAGATATGTATATATAAATGATCAAGATGACGAGACGAGTTGAAATCCGGATGTCTGTCTGTTCGTTGGTCTGTTTGTGCAAGCTGTAACTTGAATAAAAATTAAGATATTCTAATGACCTACAAGTGTTCGTTGGCAAAAAAAGTGAGGACGAGTTCGTAGCTGGGCCAAATCAGACCACTGCCACGCCCACAAAACGCCATTAAACGAAAATCTGTAAAGTGCCATAACTAAGTATAAGAGATATAAAACTGTAATTAGGCAAAGGAGATAAGAGTAGCAACAAGCACTTGTGGGCTAAAATTTTTGAAAATATGGGCGTGACCTACTCGACCCATATCGACCAAATTTGTTTTTATTTCAGTGCAAAAAATGGGCGATATCGGACTACAATCTCGCCTACTTCCCGTATAACACAGTTTTAAATTTCATCTGATTCTTTTTGAATGCATCGGGATAAAACTTTGCACAAATAGTTCCTTTGAGGTGGGCCACCTTAGTACCAAAAATATAACATATTATTTAGACCAAGTTCGTTCATTACAGATATATTATATATTCACCAAAGGCCAGGAGCCTGTATTAGTGATTGAATTAGCCATGCCACTTCCAATGTATTGCCGTAATTTGAAAAGCTAAGTTAAGTTCTGATGTAACCGAACATTTTATACTCTCGCCAAGTCGAATGGTATACTCGTTTGAGAAAAAAAATATTAATACTCACTGACCGACATATTCGGCTTAAAACTGGTTAGAATAACAAAAAACATTATAAGTAGTATATGCAAGTTGAGGTTAGTACTAACCCGATTTTATCAGTTTTTGCCAATATCACATACTACTAATATGCCACGAACTAATAAAATGCTTCCACTGTTTCATTAAGGTACCTCACATACCATTACCAATCATATGGAGTAAAGTCAGACAAATATTCGAAAATTCTGATATTAATTACATGAGGGCTAGGTAAAATCTTCACCCGATTTCATTCATTGGATACCTTGTTATAAGTCAAAAAAGCTCTCTCATTTTCATTGAGATAACTCACATATAGGCCGATATATGCGGTATAAAGTCACCCGGAAGTTCAAAAATCTTTATATGAGGTATGTAAGGGCTATAGGAAGTATTGATCCGATTCAACCCATTTCTAACACAAAATCATGCTATTATAGCGAGTTTCATTCATTTATTTTATTATATGAATTTCAATTATATATCTTACATATTGACCGATATTTTCAGTAAAAAGTTAACTATAGGCACTGGGGTCCACATATTCAATACCTATTGGCTTAAACAGTTTTGGTTCGATTTAGACAATTTTTGGTCTGAAGGTTGCGTACTTTAAACGCATTAGTCATGCAAAGGTTTACCCTGATACCGTCATTGTTGCTTGAT